GCAGCTCTGAGATAAATCTGATCTCTGTTGAGGGAGCCTTTGGAGCTCCTGTAGGCACAAGAGCGGTTAATAGTACTGGGTTTGTTCACTTATCTTGCTATAGACATTAATACATGGCCCTTCTAATGTTCAGTACCATGGGCCCAAGTGTATTGGAGATCCTCGTTCTAGCAGATAGATCCCTAGATCTCAAAAAATACATTCACTGACAACTCTGAGACCTCAAAGAGAAGAAAGCCTGTTCTTTTGCCTTTCCGTACACAGCTGCAGAGATTAAATCATTTCCACAGAAAACTTTAGGAAGCCTTCTTTAGAAATCTCAAAGCAGGAACAGCCTGCACTGCTAGAAACGATAAAGCTAGCGGGTCAGTGCTTCCTTGATGTCTGGTAGGATGCCCCGGGTTCTACAAGCTCTGAAGAAGGGCTTCCAGCAGAGACTGAAGCTGAGAGTCAAATCTGCTTGACAAACCAGGAGGCAAGAGCCACAGCGTTGTATTTGGATCCCTCCTGAGCACCAGGCGTTGCTGAAATAGCAACAAGCCAGAGAGCAGCCAGGACAGAAATGCCTCTGTACTGCCCAGTTAGATCTTGGGCTTTCAGTTTAAACTCCCCATCACTAGGTCAATGAAGAGTTTAGATGCTCTGCGTCTAGACACTTTGATGATAGCTCGACAGAAACTGAGCACAGCTCTGTAGCAACTGAAACTAATCAAATTTCTCATTTATTTTATGGCCTCTGCGAGTGCAGCGTGCTTGGGTAAACACCATCAATACAGAGGAGTCGCTCAGCTCCCGGGTCACCGAGGATTCTGTATTCTCTGCAGCAATTCGATTATCTCTGTAAACCAGGAGGTGCCTGCCTAGCACTGAGAACATGAGCCATCTCAGTACATCTGTGAGCAGAGACTGATTTTATTTCAAGAACACTAATAGTCAAAGTAATTTTCCAAGATCATACAGATATATATATATATATATATATGCGCACACACAGAGCTAGCCCAGCTAGATTTCACGTTTACCCTTTCCACCACAAACTCAAGGTCAGAATTGTTTTATTTCACATTAAAATAAAAACCACTAAAACCTAATTGGACTTTACCAACATTACAAATTAAGAATCAAGCTGGCTTCTTTCTAATACATCCAGAGGCAGAGGTGAACACTGCAATTGGCACTTCTCTGAAACTTTTGTTCATGAAATACGAGGCCGAGCAGAAAGCAGCGTACGTGCCTGTAGATTCAGCCTTGCAGGGCTAATGCTGAGAATACTATTTATTTATTCATTTATATAAGCTAAAAGGCTGTATTCATTTATATAAGCTAAAAGGCTGTATTCATTTATATAAGCTAAAAGGCTGAAACTTCAAATGCATGTAGCAAGCAGAAATGCTTTCTGATATTGCCATTTTACCGACTATAACTGTATTGGAAATACATTCTAATTAAATATTTAATTCATTGGCCATCAGCCTCATTTCCTCTCCCTCCAAAAAATTGCTTTTTAGGAAGGGAATGAAATAGTTTCCTCATTGTGTGAGAGACAACTTTTAACCTGCAGCTGAATCAGGACAAGATTTTGGGGTCCCACCCAAACTACCTTTCTCGGGAGCTTGTGCTGCAGGCACAGCCACAAACAGAACTCTGAAATTTGCTGCCAGCAAAATGATGTTGAACTTTGAGAAAAGGAACAGGTACTGTCAACTTACACTTTTTTAGAACTAGTAACATATTACCCAATAGGGCTGAGAAACTTTGTTGATGGGCCAGGACCCCATTGTGGCGTACAAGAGGATCAGACATAACCTGTCCAGTTTAGGGTCCATCCTGGAAGCTCCTGGTTATGGACAGATTCCTGCATCCTCTTTAATTTGACTGAAAGCCAATATCACAGGAACCTGATATGTAACATGTTGCTTATAAACAAAGATGGCCCCAAACTACCTGCATCTGGGCACCTCATGCAAACCTTCCTTTTTTTCAAGTTACTGCACAACAGCCAAATTCCCAGATGGTTCCTTTTGGAGTGCACAGTTAATATTTGTTCAGCCACAAGCTTAGCCAAAGATACTAGGCCCCCAAGTAAGGTTTGGGGATGGTACCCTGCATTGCTCAAGGCAAGCATAGCTATTTTTAAGGCCAGGTTCACCACTGCAATTCTTCCAACACAATTCTTTCCACATGTGCTTTAGGCAGACTTGTCCCTAACGCCTCCCCAGGAGGTTAGATTGTACAGTTGCATTTGCAGGAGCCAGAAGTGCCAATGCCACTCACTCTCCCAGATGCTAAGAAGTTAATTTGTACCGTAAGATAGCTGTAAAGGATTTCACGCTGCATTTGGCATCTTATGGGGATGAGATTCTGAAATTGTTTAGTTCTGAGTCAGGGAAATAAATAACATATTTAAGGAAACCCCTCTCATTTCACTGATTCTTCTGCCTAATTGTGCATCAAACATGTACCATCCTCAACAAAGCCCAGAGTAGTTTCCCCTTCACTGGCTGTAAAAACCTGTCTTGGACCAGGAAAGGGAAACCCTTCCTGATGCTATACATTGGGAGAGCACCAACTCATCGCTGCTACTGCTGACCTTCTCTTGTCTCACCAGGGGTGGAGGCACACAACACAACAGGGACACCAGGACCCCCACCCTTCTCAGAAATAATCTGTGGGGTTTCACAGCATATCAAAAACAGCCAAGACAGCAAGAAAACCTGAGACACTTGAAAAAAATGAAAGCTTCAGTTCTAACTTCATAAGGCTTTTCATTTTCCTCCTCATTCCCCAGACTTATCACCATTATTTCTAGCTCTCCAAGCAAAAGCCATAACAGCATAGGGCATACACCTGTACCAATGAAAGCCTCAAAGAAACAGATACAAAGCGGGTTTGAGTGTTGTCAGCCTCATTTTTTCCTGCATCTACGTTTTCTCAGAAGAAGAAGTTCTCAAAGCCCTTTGTCCCCCCATTGCCTTGCACTCTCCCAGTTTTGCTTATTTCATACATAGATACCTAAGGCTGGAAGCAACCATCCAGGCCAGTAAGCTGAGCTCTCTCCCACAGAACGCAAATTAATTTGTAAAAGAGCTAGGTTTAAGGTGAGCTTGAGAAGGTCTTTGCTCAAAGCTGATCTAGAGACTAAGGCTTTTGGACTTTTTCTTCTGTATGCACAGCAGCAACTTCTTCCTATTTCCAGTTTAAACATCTCACAACCCTTATATTGTAATTTATCTGCTCTTCTGCAAGGGAAATCTTACCTTTGAGGCGAGAGCTCTTGGCTCAAACAGCTTTTCTGCAGAGTAGCATTTAACCTGCCTCCCACTTCCTCTTCAAGCTTCACTTGTGTAGGATAAACAGGACAAGCCTTTGTTAACCTCTTCTCCTAAGAAACACGGGTGGATGGGGAGAAGCAGGTAATCCAGCCATTTCCTACCCTCTTTCAGCTTGAATGCTTTTTGCTGAATATGGTAGCCAGGGCATCACAGAGCACCTGGGGGAAAGCTTAAGCAGCATCTCACCTACTAACACTGGGTTTTCGCTCCTCATGGGAACCACCTGGGCTGGCACACTGGGTGGAGCACACTTTTGCACCCATACCAGGTCAGCCAGCTGAGGTGGTTACAGGTCATCACACCGGGGGTACTTCGTTATAGGTGTTTCTCCTGACGCTGCCTAACTGGGATCAGCTGTTTCTTGCACCAGGCAAGTCCCAGTGTCTCACCTTTACAATTATATCCATCATGGCACTAAAACATAAAGCCCAGGTCAACATAAAAGAGTTAGCTGCTGCTCTAAGGTGTTAAATCGCACTACAGATGAAACTCTTTGCTCAGTCTATCTGTTAGCTTATTTCCACCAAAGTCGGAGCTATTATGCCAATTCCTTCTGCAGAGGATGCACCTGCACAAAGAAACGTGTCTTGGCACAGGAAATTCACAGGGAACCAGGAAAGTGTCAGTGCCTTCAGAGCAGCTTTGTTTTCCTAGGCTTTCTTCACACCTCAGAAATAACACAGGACCACAGAAGTTCTTCCTACTGTTTGCAGTTATGCAAATGCTGCGAGAAACCTGTGAGTCACTGAGTTTCCCAGGGGCTCCACCTTCAGCGTGAGAGAGGCTTCCACTCCCCCAGCCTCCAACGAGCAAGCAATTAACCCAGCAAGCCTCTTGAGCTGTGTGACACGCAGTAAGGGCTCGGCACATCCATCCTTTCCAGGATAAGGAGTGGGCCAGAGAAAGGGCTCACCTCCTTGCAGAATTTCTAGGATACTTCAGCTTCCGTTAGATTTAGACTTGTGAGCAAATCTGTAGCAATAGCCCCAAGCACTGGTTCAACTTCAGGCCTTCAAAGAAAGGGCTAAGAAGGAACAGCCCCTGAAATGTTCCTGCTATCCATAATTTTCTCCGTAAGATAGGGATGGAAATCCTACCACCTTTCTCTCAGCCTGGAGCTTTTTTCCTCTTCTGGATGCCTCCTAAGCCCTTGCCTCTCCCAGGTGTGGTGGCTCGGGTCTAGTCAAAATTATCACAGGTCATTAACTCTGTACTGCCCAGCCAGGCTTTGCAAGCCACGTACCCCGTACCCCAAATGCCTTCTATCTGACTGTGTTCTTGGTCTCCTGAGGGCATTAGCAATCTTAGATAAAGCAGCCAGCTTTCACAGCTTCATTAAAAAATCCAAATAGCAAAGTCCAAAATAAACCATTGAAATTACTGCCATGATCAGCCTCAGAAGCCCCAAGATAACTCTGTGGTCTGGGTGAGTGGAAAATGAGCAAAAGAGATAAATAACACAACAAAACAAGAGTTGATTGCTGAATCAGTACCGAGCCTGGCAGGACCTTAGAAAGCACTTAATGTTGGTATTGTAGTCTGGGTGGGAGTGTGACATAGTGGTGTAAGGATCAGCTGGGCAAAACCCTGTTTATTAACGAACTTTTCTGCCTTGTAACATGTGTTTTTAGGTGATTGCTGGCTACTAGCTGCCATTGCATCTCTCACCTTGAATCCAGATGTTCTGTACCGCGTTGTTCCTGAGGATCAGAATTTCCAGAAGGACTATGCTGGGATCTTTCATTTCCAGGTACCTGTAAGATCAAGGTATCGAGAATAAGAGGAAAATTCTAGTAGTTAATTAAAAGCAGCTATTTTTGCATTTGTCACAGGCTAAATATTAAAGAATTACAGTGTGTAAGTGAAATTGGTAAGGGGAAGGGGGGAAGAAAAGAAGAACAGAGTTAAATAACATTAAATGACACTTGCTTTCAGAAGGGACTGAGCGTTCCCCATTTGGGTGACCTCTCTTTGCAGCATTTTTACAGAGTTATCAGGATTTTTTTTTCCCAATGGGTTGGGCCTTAAAAGAGTAAACAAGAAAAGACTTCAGATTATGATGTCTTTGCACTAGCTTTCTGTGCTCACTACCATGTAAGCTCTGCATAGAGCACTGACAGTGTTCCAGATGTTATGTACAAGAAGTCGCTGTTAATATCAGCAAAACTATCAGCAAAACTTTAATATGGCATCAAGAAGCCTGCTCAGTGCTTCACAGGGATGGGAAGAGTTTGCCTCTGTTACAAGGGAGAGAAGTCCAACATGGGAATGAAAACTTATAGTGACTTATCCCAGGGGAACTGATGACAGGTGAAGGGGTAGTGGCAAGATGGCAGAAGATGGCAGTGCAGAGCTATTATGGGCCCACCAGCCCTCATCATCTTTTCCTTTCTTCTGAAGATGGCAGTGCAGAGCTATTATGGGCTCACCAGCCCTCATCATCTTTTCCTTTCTTCTTTTCATCAGTTCTGGCAGTACGGGGAGTGGGTGGACGTCGTGGTGGACGACCGACTGCCCACCAAGAACGGGAAGCTGGTCTTTGTGCACTCGGAGGAAGGCAATGAGTTCTGGAGCGCGCTGCTGGAGAAGGCCTATGCCAAGTATGGTGGCTAAGCAGGAAGCAGCACTCTTGGGTGTGCAGGAGTTGACTGCCCAGGTGGTTGTGGTGTAGGACACAAAGCACTTCACTCAAATGCAGCTTCAGTTCCACCCATTATTTAGCTTCTTCTGGGTCCATAAAGGGTACATAAAGCCAACTGCCTGTTTCAAGGGGCTCTACTTCTGCAGCCCCAGGTCACACTGATGGTCAGACGGACCACGGGATACCAAATTATGAACCCCTCTTTCTGCAGTGCCAATGCTTACAAGTGGCAATGGCCCCTTAAATAGCTGTTGTCATCTCCCCCACAGGCTGAACGGTTCTTATGAAGCTCTCACAGGAGGGTCCACTATGGAAGGCTTTGAGGATTTTACTGGAGGCATCTCTGAGTCTTATGAGCTGCGGAGGGCTCCTTCAAACCTGTACCAAATCATCCAGAAGGCTCTGAGAGCTGGATCATTGCTTGGCTGTTCCATTGATGTAAGACAATATTGCTTCTTTACTCTCCCATTCTCAGGGCTCTGGTCCATACTGTAACAAAAGCTTCCTATGAAGGTCTGAATTAGAAGCAAACTACAATTAGTGAGAAACTTTCATTGATTTTAATTACAAGAAAACTTTGGGTGAGGTTCTAAATAACCAACTCTCATCCTGCCTCATGTTTTACAAGACAGCCTGTGGTAATACTTTGAGCTATGAACGAGGGACTAGACTTCCTGAACTCTGTTTTCATTCTCTAAGTATCCTTTCTCATTCAAATTCTGCATAATTTCAGCTCCAGACATGCAACTGCCAGAGACAAACTCTTTGAGATATTTTGTTGTAGCCTGTAGTCTGATTCTGGCTTTGGTTTTCAACCCGAAAGGTTATTGACACTTGTAACAGCAAATTCTCTCAAGTTACAGAAGATGTTTGTACATGTTTTCAAAACCCCACACCTTTCACATCCAGTTTCAATATCCTGTTTGAAATCCTGGTTCGTGGCATATAGGATTACCAGAGATGAAATTTTGAAATGCTGGATCTCAGCAGAGGCAGGGCTAGACCTGTGTCCATATGAGCATGTCTTTGCAAGTGACCAGATCTGGATTTAGATTTCTTTGTACATTCTTGAGCCCCTGTTATGCTAGGACTGCATATTTAGGGGCATGAAACTGTGGAGGTGTACTTTTGCTGTGGATCTCGCCCTTATTCATTACACTTTGCATCAGGAGTATTGATATTCATTGTGCACACCACTTTGGATATCTTCCCCCATATTAATTTGCCATGAAAACTGTGTTTATATACAATATACAGCCCTAAATGCATATACTTTTATCGCCCCAGATAACTAATACAGCTGAAATAGAAGCAATCACAAGCCTGAAACTGGTCAAGGGACATGCTTACTCTGTCACTGGAGCAGAAGAGGTAAGCCAGTTTCTCCAGGGCCATGGTACAAAATAGCTTGGGGTTGCAATCCTGCAGTGCCTTCAACTATCTGATGTCTGTCTGAGACTGACCAAATCAATATGTTGCTGATTTGCTGATGTGGCACAGGACAAAGTAAAATAAGGGTGGAAGGCATCTAGGTGTCTTTTAACCATCGCAAATTATAATGGACTGCATCACCCAAGTACAAATTGTGTTTTATCCTGTCTGAAAAGCAGTTGCCCCATGATGATTGGAATAATGGAAGTGCTCAGGCTCTGTTTGTTGTGGGTCTTTTAGGTATATTACCGAGGACGGCTGGAGAAACTAGTGAGGCTTAGAAATCCCTGGGGTGAAGTGGAATGGACTGGAGCTTGGAGCGATAAGTAGGTTTTGATATGCCCCTGCCTCTCTCTCCTCAGTGTATTCTGGTATCTTTTAAAAATTAAATTGGGACTATGCAGTTAATCCAATCACAAAGCACATTTAGGAGAGATACTAAATCAGTTGGGATAAAACACTATTAATTTATTAGCAAGGTTAGATATTGATCCGCTCTACCCAGCAGACATTCTTCTCTGCTTTCTAATAAGAGAGAACAGCCCACGTTTTAATTGTGAGCAGCCTGATACAAGCCATATCCACATAATTTTGCAAGATGACTTTTCTCAGATTGATCCAACTGATGGTGCCAGGACCTTAGTGGGATATGAAAACCAATCCTGTTCCTAGGAAATACAACAGGGCTAAACCTTTGTGCCTCTGCCTCAGCTCTAAGGTTGCTGGGCTCTAAATCAGACTGGTATTTGGTTTCTACTGGAGAATCTTGAAAAAATGAGGATGTTGTCTAAGCTAAGGACCTAGAAGTTTGAAAATCTACCAGAAACTGTCTGGGCTTCAACTACCGTGGAGTCTCAAGAGAATGGCAGTGCCAACACATCTTTTATTTTTATATTTAGAGTGGCATAAAATTTACTTTAATTGGGGCCACAATGTATTTTTCCATGCAATGCTCTGATATTTCAGTTTCCTGACCTGACTGACCGCAATGCTCATGTTGTATAATACTTAAAGGCAGAAAAATAGAGATAAACATTAGAATTATTCGTACCTTTATGAGAGCTGCTTTGCTCAGCCCCACGATAAGATGCCTCAGGCATGCACATGTGCCATATCCTGATTTTGTGGCACCTGTTTTACCACGGGACAACCCTGCTGGGGCAGGTCCAGAGCTGTATCATCACCCATGAGGGGATCAGAGTGGGATCCACCTTGCTGCACTGGAACATCAGGACAGGAAAGGAGTAATGCTGTTTTCTGCAGTAATCTAATTTTCTAATTTTTAAAATTAGAAATTAAATAAAACCAAAATTATATTCTTTCCTAATCTCATTTTCTAATCCCATCTTTTTGCTTTCTTGTTCTTTGGTCTCGCTAGCAGTGAAGTTTCTATCGTTTCCCTAGGGAGAATATCAGGCATCCCAACAGATCTTACAGTGGAGAAGCTCTGCCCGACTTTCAGGCTGTGTGTTACCTAATCCAGCCTCTCTGCAATATTTGTACATCCCAGCACCTGGCAGGGATGAGTCAGTTTAAGACTTATTTGCTGCAAATACGGCTGCAGTCTGATTCCAGCCCTGTACAGTCAGATTGCAGCATGTGCTGCCACTGAGGGGGGCGGAAGGTCTAGTTCTTGGAGAAATACATACTCCTTTATCAGCTGTAGCCGAAGACAGAGCCTAATTCCCTGATCTTGTTGTAGAATGAAATACAACAACCTGAACAGCTTGCTTTTGTGCTTTGTCTTCAGTGCTCCCGAGTGGAATTATGTTGATCCCAAACAAAGGCAAGCTCTGGATAAGCAAGTAGACGATGGAGAATTTTGGTGAGAATCGTTCGGTTAGCGTAATCTTTTGGATGTTTTATGTGCATGGATGCTTTTTTAGCTGTCTTTTTCTGCTGTATGGAGAGAAACCGCCAGCACCAAGGGGGTTCATAATGACATGCGTGTGTTGTTAGCCTCTTGTTTATCTCTCTTCCCATTCAAACATTACCTTTTATTAGAGCTTGCATAACTCAGTGCTTATCCAAAATATAGAGACCAGATGGTAATAAAATCAATGAGGTGGCAAGAATGAACCTCAGCTGCTCTATATTTTGAGGTTTGTTTTTTTTTTTTTTTGCCTAAATGCTACAGGCTAATGAAGAAGTTTAGATTACCAGCTTGGGGAGAGTCTGTTTACCCAGCTCTAATGGAAAGCCCATCCCAGTTAGCTGATTATACGGATCAGTACCGAACGCGTGTGGCTCTGTCCTAGGCTGGAAAGACAAACGCCCACCGCCTTTCAGTGCCACCAGCTCCAGGGGCCATAAGGCACGGAGAAATGGGGGCAGATCTCTGCTTGCAGCACGAAGCAATCAAGGTCTGTCACTCAGGCAAACCTACTAGGATTGGTAAAACCAAACATTAACGGTAGAATTAAGGCAAAACACAAACTGAAGGCTTTTTTCTTACAGAGCGACTCTTTCACAGGGGCCAACTCTTATTGTCATTCAATGGCATCTCCTTGCACATTTTTTTCCACTGATTTTAGTGAATTTACTGATGAAGTACGATGCACGAAGCATTGCCCATGGAGATGACAGAAAACAGTATGACTGAGCCCATAATGTGTAACAGCTGTTGAGAACTATCTCCAGGATACACAGCTCATTCAGGGAGTGGGTA